CTATACCCGTTAGCACTTTTCAGTAAGTAAGGACAGAGACTATCGCATAACGATGAGAGCCTCACTTTCTGGGAGAACTAACTCATACACTCCACTGTCCTAGGCTTCTTTGGCCCAACCCTGAACAGCTTCATTCACATCCTCATGTACTCCTACTACGGCCTCTCTGTGTTCCCGTCCATGCACAAGTACCTCTGGTGGAAGAAATACCTCACACAGGCTCAACTGGTATGTTGTTCTTTCTTTGCTTCTCCATGTGGCTCTGACAGGGAAGGAATAGGCAGCTCAGGCTCTGTGACTAGTCTGACTTACCTTAACGAATCATACTTTGCCATTATAGCATCTATGTGTTTGCAATTAGCTTCTAAACGGAAATTTTCTGGTTTGAAATATACATAAACAGTTTTTGAAGTTAATGTACAAATTAGATCATTTTTTATCAGATTAACTGCTACTTTTCAGTGAGAAAATAGACAAATTTCTATATTTACATAACTTCAAATAAAGTCTCTGAGCAGGGTAGTGGACTACTGAGGCATTTTTCTTGGTTCACTTCTGCAGAATATAGCAAGGGACAGTAGCCATGTTGCAGAGCCATGGAGCCCACCTCCTGCAGGACCTGTTCTCACCTGCAGCCTCTGCCTTTCAGGTGCAGTTTGTGCTCACCATCACGCACACACTCAGTGCTGTGGTGAAGCCCTGCGGCTTCCCCTTTGGCTGTCTCATCTTCCAGTCTTCCTATATGATGACACTGGTTATCCTGTTCCTAAACTTCTATGTTCAGGTATGTAAGATGCAGACATTCAGGGGTAAGTGACAAGCTGCCCCAATGCACTCACTGTGCCTTCAAGATAACAGTCTGCAGAGGAGGAAGTAAAGGACACGTTCCTAACCCTTCCCCCACATCCTCCTCCAAGAACAGCCAGCTCACAGTCCAGGTGATCTTTGCTGAGAGCTCGCTCTGAAAGATTGAGTTACATTATATCTACATGTATATTTGCCCCCTGGCCACCCAAATCTGACGTCAGAAAGCTGAACAGGTGTAGTAGCACAGACCCAGGGAGCTTGTGTGGAGAAAAACTTAGGAACAATAGTGGTTAGTGTTTAATAATGTATTTAGTAAGCCTCTATTAGTTGCTCTGACATATGGAGACAGTGTTCATTTGAGGAAATTCTTTTAAGGCAAAACCAGCATGGACAGGGCATGCTGGCTCGCTCTTTGTCAAGCAAATGATAGTCTAGTGACTTTAAGAGCCTGTGCAGGCTGTGGCAGCAAAGTCTCAGGTGGTTGCGCATTTTAAATGGCAGGGCCAGGGAAGTAGAAAGGCTGCTTCACACATAAAAGAAAAACCATCATTTATATTCGAACCATACTTTTGAAATTCTATTCAACTATTTTCTTCTCCAGATAATTGCTCTCATTTTTAAGTTTTTGTTGATAGTGGTTTGATGTGAAGGCTCGCTGTGGGAACAGGGCCTGTGACAGCTCTGCAGAGTGTGTTTCTGAACTGGACTGCTGGCCTCTGCTCCTTGTAAAAGAGATCAGTTTCCTTCGAGGATGTCTAAAGAAACATTGGTGGAACCAAACCGATCCACACGTGCACACCAGAACTCGAAAGGAATGGCATGGGCTCAGGGTAGCCCAGCAGTGGTAGGCAAGGGCTATGAAAACTATCTCTATACACTGGTTGAGACTGAATCTTAGCTCTGACTTTACACTGTTCTAGTCTTGACTCTTGTTAATGCCATTATTGCTTTTTAAAAAGAGAAAATGCTGTTATGCCAGCACTGAAGGGGTAGAGACAGGAAGATCAAGAGTTCAAGGTGATTGTGATCTATATAGCAAGTTGGAGACCAGCCTGGGCTGAGTGAGATCTTGTCTTGTGGTAGATAGATAAGACAGGTAGGTAGGTAGGCTGAGTGTGATCAGGTTTTTCATCAGAATGAAAGAGAGGACCATACAGGGATGGATGGATGGGCTGAGTGAGATCCTCTCTCGATAGAGATAGATGAAGGAAGGAAGGTGACAGAATGACAGATCAGGTTTTTCATCAGAATTAAAGAGGACCATACAGGGCTGGAGTTCTGTGACAGATGACATAATTAATATACATTAAAACCTGCTTTATATCTTCAGCACAAAAGAGGACTTTTAAAAGCCCTGCCAGATGATGTTGTAATTACAATCTCAAAATAACAGCTCCTTTTATCTTGAATTTTAAAGGAAGTTATATTTTCCAAATGAATAATATAAGCTGCTTTGAATGCTAAGCAAATTATGGTGTAACACAGATAAAGTGAAATGACCTATACTGACATTCATGTATTTGCCTTGTTTTTTGCCTGAGCTTTATAGCAAGAGGCTTAAAAACAAATTGTCATTAGAAGGCCCAGTGCCGAGGAAGACTGTGTAGTGCTTTAACTGCATGCATGCTACATCAGAGGGTTGGAGACATGGTGTTATCAAAACATCTCTGCTTTTTCTCCTGTCTACACTCTGACAGACATACCGGAAAAAGCCAGCGAAGAAAGAGATGCGTGAGCAACCTTCAGGGAAAGAGGTGAAGAACGGTTTGCCCAAAGCCCTCTTGACTGCGGCTAATGGTGTAACAGACAAGAAGGTGCAATGAGTGAAGAGATGGGAGACGCACAGACAGTGCAGCAGCCCACCAGATAGATGAGCTTGTTTTAGAGCAAAGACTGAATTGAAAGTTGTATGTTTTAGCATAAACTAATTCCTTTTGAGTTTGTAAATCATTTGTACCAAGAATGTATTATAATATATTGCTATTAGGTTACTCTATTAATTGAAATGATGCCGACCTCTACAAACCTCAGAACAGGTGCAGCGCCCCCTCTCCTGAGCTCTTCGTAATGCCTTATTCACGCAGAAAACCAGGAGACATGGGCTTTGTTTTCACGGCAAGTCTTCAGAGTTAATTTTCTTTAAATATATAAAATAAAATGTTAATTATATTGTAAACGCCAGGGTCTGCTCTAGTCCATGTCAAGCAATAACTGTCGGTGCATAAATTGATAATCAATTCACTTGCTCCTTAAGGCATCGACCCTAGGAAGCGTTTAAATGGGATCCTTAGCAAAAGACAGAATCTAGCATCACCTCTCCTCTAGTCAGGGAGTCTGCTACAGTTTTTAACCACTCTGAGTTTAGTGATGTCGTACTGAAATTGTTCAACACAGTTTGAAGATTACTCATTCTGTAAACAACTTGAGCTGGGTGTGGTAGTATATACCTGTGATTCCAAGTGTTTAAGTATCGAGATAGCCTGGGCTACATGAGCACAAGAAGACCCTGTCTTAACCATAAAAAAAAAAATTCCTTTTTGCCAAATGGTCATAACTCAGGGGCTTCCGGCAGGAGCTATCTGTTTCAATTCACTTCGTCATTCATACAGTCCTGTCTACCTCCCTTGCTAGTCTGGATTCATAGAGTTACATCTTCCTATCAAAAGCTGCCAGGCCTTTTCTTAAAGGCTGGAGTCCAAGTACAGCTCTCCCTGGCACAGAAATGCAACTGGACTACTTATAAATCATAATCAGCAGGGCCCCAGGGACAAAAGAGACCTCACATTTGTCAACCGTTGCTTCTGAGCCTACTCATGAATGTTATCCCAAGAAGTTGCTATAATCTTCCTAAGTTTCCGTTTCAGAAAACAGAAAAGGATGTAGTCATTTGGAAAGCTCCTGTGGGCTGGGAATAAGGCACAGTGAGGATGTGTCTGGCCAAGCACATGCTTTCTCCGATCAGAACCATGGTCTCTGCTGAGAAGCCAGTACAGAGGCCGACCAAGGCCCAGGTCATTTCCTTCAGGTCATCCTACAGCTGATGGACCGAGCACCACAGTTAAACTGTACCAAACATGAAACAGTACATTTTCTAAAGCTTACACAAAACATGACTTAGTAACTTGGACTCTATGATCTCTCCATTTTAGCAAATATGTACTTGGGTCATGGCTCTGGCATCTAGCACATGGTAGGCTTTTCTTAAGTGCCAACGATAGTGCCTGCCCACCCATGTCTTCCCTTCCTGGGCAAGTTCCCATTTTAACTTTTCCCTATATAAAAACTGTGCTGACTTTTTAAACTCATAAGTACACGCCCTTCTCAGTGGTGTATTTTGGTGAGCACCACAGTCCTGTGCATCCACCATTGCCATCCTGTTGATCAGATTCTTCCTGTCAATGTATTTTTACGGGATTTTCATTTTCCCAAACTCCTAGGTGCTTAACCACCATTTCCAGTGACTTAGACTCAAGCAAGCATATTCTTTCCTAAGAATTCACTTAAAGGGTCAGCTGAGTATGGGACTGTTCTTCTGTGACAAGACACAAGTTAATCAAAGGAGCAACCTCCATGGTGAAACTGTGGAGTTCAGTTTTAGTTCTCAAACGTGGTTCCAAATCTGTTACCGAAATGAACTCTGGGTAAAAATGAGGCAGAAGAGGTGTCACTGGTCCTTGCACCCATGTTGCTCTTACTTGCGAGTGAGGCACTGAAGTCTCACTGGGCATCACACCTGCGGCTGAGATGTCTGCACAACTTCATCTGTGTAGCACAGAGGACACCATCTCTGTACAGCACTTCAATAATGGCAGCTCAAAGAACCAGCCAGCTTTAATCCTTCCAGAGCAAAACTCAGTACAACACTAAGCCTTAAACCACTCAAGGGCCAGCAAGACATGCAGAGCTAAGAAACCTAAGCTGCAAAATGGGATCTGGTAAATATTTTAACCCATTTATTTTTAGTGCGAATTTTCTAAAATAGAAGTATAAAAATGTCTATCTCTGTAATCTGATAAAATGGTTTTCCCAAGTAAATTACCTTTTATCCATGAGAACAAAAGTACTTGGGTACTATAAAACCTTAATTTCCCCAGCTTTTAAAATAAAATGGAATGTTTGCTGAATGTAATTAATGTAGAAAATGTCAGGCCATCAGAATTATATTTATACACAGTGGTGGATAAGTTCCTGTCTTCCCACATCAGAGAATTTTTTTTTTTACCAAAATGGGCAGAATAGCATTTTATATGTTAGAGCCCATTCTTCTCTAGTCCTTCCCAGCATTCCTGTGTCAATTAAGAACATCAGTAGAGGTCATTTCTTTGAAAATTGAGGGTTTCACTTTTTGTTTTCCTTTGAAAGTACTGCATCTAAAGAACACAGTATCATGACTGGGGAGAAAGGGAGGCAGAAGCCATTTTTCTTTTAGATAAAAAGAATTCTGTGTGATTGTTGTATAATAAATTGATTTTTATGCTAAAATGTGTTACAATTTTTCTTATTTGGCTCAAAGAAGCTAAAAATGTGAGCCTCTGTGGTATTCCAAGTTGTCTATTATTTGGGGATTACTTTTACCAATAAAGTGATATTTTAGTGATGAATCTTAGATTTCTAATTCATTTCAACAAGCAGTGGAATGCTATGTGACATTATTAATGCAGTATTTATATACCAAGTTAAACTAAGAAGTTCGTCACTCACAAGGAAAACTGAATAGCAATCAGACAAGCAGAGTCTACTCGACACTACTTACTGCACAGTATAACAGTATACTCTGCTGTACTATAAATACTCTACCATAACTACTAATACATAAATATCATAAATATGATAAACCATACTACACCATACACTGGGGGTACGTATGGCACTGATTACCAGTACCCCGGGTACCTTTACAGTGTCTTCCCAGGTGGAGGAAGTGGCCACTTCATCTCAGGAGCGGAAGGAGGATCACCATCTGCCATTTGTCGTCAGAGGCTGCAGTCTCCAACACGATGAAGATCTCGGGGCCCCAGCATGAAGGTAGCCTCAATAGGCATGCTCAAAGTCTGATCGAAGCCACTCACATCCCAAGGTAGAAAAGGGTCAGGCAGGAGAATTAGGAAGGCAAGAGGGTGGGGTGGAGGTAGAAGGAACTTGGAGTGATTGAGGGCTAGAGTTTAGCGGGAGGGTGGACATTTTAAAAAGCCCCCTTCACTTCATTATTTTAAGCTGTGGGTGGGATTGTCACATTACAACTTTGTCTTTAAAAATAAAAGGCTAGGCAGGGTGCAATCCCAGCACAGAGGAAGCTGAGGCAGGGGGATTGCTGAGTTAAAGTCACTCTAGAGTACAGTATGCTGGCTCCTGGAAAATTTGAGCTATGGAGTAAGACCTTGTCTCAAAAAATATAATAGACCCAATGTTTTTTATGAGAAATTAGCTATTGTATGTAGCACAAATAATAAAAACTCAGACAGATATTGGGGTTCAACCTGAAGATCAGAAAAGCAAAACAACCAAGTCACTAGAGAGCTCTTACCTCTATGAAATCTTCAGACTGAAAGAGTTCCTGCCTTATATTCCTCTCTAGTGTTGGGATTAAAGGCATACACTACTACCTCACAGTTCAAAGTATAAACTCTTAAAAGTTCCATAACCTCCTATAACCATGCCTTGAGCTGAAAACCCACTACTCACACATATTAACCTATGGGAGACATTGTATGGCCAAGTCATACCAAAGCCTTTACTTTTTTCAAACCTAGTTTAGGCTTAGATTTTTGGATTAACTCTGAGATTTCTGGATTAACTCTGAAATTTCATATTCAGTAAAATATTTTCTCAAATCTATGCTGTATAATGTTACGAACTTGACTAGAGCTATAGAAGAATCCAGATGAATTCTGGAAGAGAGCATTTGTTATAAAAACTGGTTTACACTAAGATGACTTTTCAAAAGTAATTAATGCCAAACTTAGTTTTGGTGGTTGAAGAATTTAAATTAACAAGAACTATTATTTCACAAGATTTCCAGGACTTCCATCTATGTGGCTAACTCCTAGATGGGATGCCATCTCCCATGGCGGAGTGAGACTTCAGTAATACATAGGGCCACCCATTCACTTGCCCATTCTCCCAAGGAGACTCCATGCCTGAGAAGGCTGAGCCCCACCTGTCACCCAGGTGAGGGCTGTACATCTGTGTCTCAAGTCCTGCCTGTCCAAGGTTGTCTCTACCCCATGTGTCAATGCAATGAGGTGTGTCCTAGAGGCTGCAGCCTCAAGCACTCTGATGAGCACAGTGTATCCAGAAAGCTTAAGTCCAAACCGTTGCCCCCAGTGCTGTCAGTGTAGCTTCAGGACTTCAGACCCTGCCATATATACTGCCTGGAAGAGCACAGCCATCCCAGTAACCCTGTGAGGTTAATGTGTCCAGGATGCTTCAGTGCCCCCCATGACTCCAGTAAGAACAGAGTACCTAGAAGGCTCTAGTCCCACCCATTGCCCTGGTGAGTTTAGTAGGCCTCCAAGATCCACTGCCCCTTCCTACCATCCCTCCAGGGATAATGATAGCCTAGGGCATTAGCAACAGTTTAAATACTTGCTCTGAAAGAATAAAAATCAGTTAAATAAAACATAATAAGTTCAACAAATGACCTGGTTCCCTTCATGAAGACAAAGAATAAAGAAAAATCAAGGAAATCCAACTCCTTCTGAAATTAATCCTACAGAAATGGCCTCCGATGCTAATGAGTTAGATGGAATTCCAGAAAAAGAACCTAAAGTAAGGATTATAAAAATATTCAAGTAATAAAAAGTAAAGCTCTTAAAAGTACTCCAAGAAAATACAACACTGAATGAAATAGGAAAGTTAGTGTCCAGTGTGAAAGAGAAACTCAAAGCTGGGAACCAAACCAAAATAGAAAAAGTCAAATTTGTGTAAATATACAACATCTCTTCATGATAATGACCTTGGAGAAAGCAGGCATACAAGGAACATACCTAAACATAATAAAGGCAATATACAGCAAGCCAACAGTCAACATCAAAACTAAATGAAGAGAAACTCAAAAGTGATCCTGCTGAAATCAGGAACAAGATAAGGTTGTCCATCTCTCTGTATCTATTCAAAATAGTACTTGAGATTCTAGCTAGAGCAATAAGACAACAAAAGGAGATCAAGGGGATACAAATCAGAAAAGAAGTCAAATTCTCACTATTTGCTGATCATATGATAGTTTACATAAGTGACCCCAAAAATTCTACCAAGGAACTTCTACAACTCATAAACACCTTCCACTAATCCAGGTCTACTGAAGATATTTGAAAAAAAAAAAATTTACATCCAGGGAAGAATCACTCTTGCTTAATTTAATAATAGTTAAGCAAAAGAGGTACAGAAAACACCAAATAATACAAAGCCAAGATGACAGGAAATTCTACCTACCTTTCCATGAGACTAATATTCATGGTTTCATTTTTGCAGTCAAAAGACAGCAGTCTGAGCCTGGGAAGATGGGGTCCTATGGATAGAAGTGAGCCACTCCAGCTGGGCCTGTGAAGGACTCAGCCTGCCCTCTATTTCTCGATGTTCTCTGTGCTCTCGTATGAAATGAGAAGGGAAGGTCTGCCGCTCGCCCCCCTCCCATGAGTCCCACCATGCTCCCCCCTTCATCCTGGACTGAATCCTCTAAACAATAGCTGAGGTTAACCTTGTTTTCCCGTCACCTACTACGCTCACAACAATGCAACGTAGCTAATATACGCGGTAAGCTGTAGTTAGAGCCTCCGCTTGTAGCTAATATACGCGGTAAGCTGTAGTTAGAGCCTCCGCTTGTAGCTAATATATGCGGTAAGCTGTAGTTAGAGCCTCCGCTTGTAGCTAATATACGCGGTAAGCTGTAGTTAGAGCCTCCGCCGCGGCAGCAGCCTCTTTCAGTAGCCTGGATTCCATGGCAGACATCCTAGTCTTCCTGAGCCACTGCGTTAACTTCATCATTCTCTACCAAAAGTTCTCATCTGCGGAATCAGTCCCTCCAGTCATGTGGGTAAAGGAAGGTTAGTGTGGGCCTAGAGGAACTTGGTTCCCCACAAGACTTTGTAGTTCCATAACCTTGAACATATTTTTAGTTTTCCTGCCATGGTTCTTATAGCCATTTTTATCTCTCTTTCTTTGCCCTAAGAAAACCATCCTTGTCCTGAAAGATGTATTTCAAATAGTATCTCTCCTACAGCAAGTCTTTCTTGATTACCCAGTAAATAATGACCTCTTTCCTTGTGACTTTGCTTATTCCTAAACAGAAATGACAGGAGAAGTGGGTTGGGGGGGAAGAGGGAAGGTGAGGGGAACTAGAAGAGGAGGGAAGGGAAAACTGCAGCCAGGTTTAAAATATACATGTGCTCTTATAAGCAAAAACTAAAGCACACTTCATTAAAAGTTATAAAGAAAAAACCTCGACAATTCAATTAGGATCACATACGTTTGTATTAGAAAAAAACCTGCAAATTAATTAATATGCAACCAATAGCATAGCTCACTAAATTTTATTGAGAACATACCGCTCAAAACACAGTCCCTACTGATCCAGCCACAAACCATCTGACTTCGTGAGTGGCCTTAGATGAAATGGGCTTTGTTGAATTTCTCTAAAATAGATTCAGGTGCCCTGCTATTGATGCAGCCCTCTGCACACAAACTTCATAAGAGACTTTAGGAGTGGCCTCAGGGGGACTATGTCTCCTCTACTGAGCATGCCTGGAGTAGAGAACTGGAGAAGCAGAAATGCCTAAAGGGCAAAGCTGTCCCCCTTACAATTTCATGTCAAACTGATCCCATCGCATTCTGTTTTCAGGTTATTTTTCCCTTAAAGGGGTTTATGAAATAATCTCTCTGCAGATGCTGCAGCTAAAGGTCTGGTTCCCGCAAAACTCAAAAAGGCATTTCTCCAGTTAAAATAAAGTTTACTCCTCTTAAATTACATGAAAAGTAAACCACTTGAAACATCTTGGATTTTTCTATTATTAGGCCACGTCTGAATAAAAGGCTTAGTTTCTGTGAACAAATGGATAAGGCAGTAGGAACTGTGAACCTGCCCCATCCCTCCCTCTCCCGCCCTGGCTCAGCAGCTGATAGTGGCTGGTTGAGCCAAGCATAGCTGGGAAGGAAGGCTCCTGGGCCAAGGCACCACAGACTCCAGCTCCCTCCTCAGGCTATTGTCCTGGTGGAAAAGGAAATGGAGAAACAGTGATTGGTCAAGGCACAACCATCACACCTCTTGGGCCCTCAGAACTCACTGTCAACAAGACTGTTGCCCCTTTCCTTTTTGAGAGCCGTGTCCGTGACTCTGACATCCTGGGAGCCCACAGTCTTAAACACAGCCCTTCAGTTAGTTCTGTGCTTAACCGTTAGTAAGAAAGCAGAGACAATAGAAACCAGATGGGGCACCACTCGGCATACTTAGGCAAGATAAACTATAAATGAATATATTCCTAATGCTGTGACTTACCAGATTCAATGTACTTACCCAAACACAAGGTTATTTTGTAGATGGAATTATTGTGTGATATTTTATGTGTGGGTTTTTGCCTGCATGTAACATGTCTGCACACCATCTGCATGCAGTGTCCAAACAGTCCAGAAGAGGGAATCAAATCCTGAGATTGGGGATGCTTGTGAGCCTCCATGTGGGTGCTGGGAACTGACTTCTGGAAAGCAGCAGAGCTCCTAACCATTGAGCCATCTCTCTAGTAACATATCACTGTTTTAAAATTTTTTGGTGTGTGTATGTGTGTATGCACACATATGAGTGTGAATACGAGCCTGCATGCCAGCGAGTGTGTGTGTGTCCGCGTGCATACGAATGTGAACATGAGCCTGTGTGTCTGTGTGTGTGCACATGCGCATGTGTGTAACATGTGCAGAGGTTGGAGAACAATTTTCAGGAGTCTTTCCTTCCACCGGGTAGGTTCCAGGGATTGAATTCAGGTTTTCAGGCTCAGTAGCAAATGCCTTTACCTACTGAGCTACCTCACTGGCTTAGGACTTTGATTTGGCAGGAATGTATCTGCATGCTAATCAGCCACTGCATCTCTGTGTTTAGTTCAGTGTTTGACAGATTGGGGAGGCACAACTCTAAAGACTGAATGACTGACCCAAGGCCCTGAGTGTAGGGCTGGAGGAAGCTCAGAACAGAAAGGAAGTTAAAAGCATCAGGGTTTTTCAGGGCTTAATTCACAAAGATTGAACAATGCCAATGTCTGTACCTACCTGAGGGGTGCAGTCATAAAGCCAGGCTTTGGCTATCCTTATAAAGGCTGAGCTGAGTTAAACCTGGAAGAAATTGATCCATCACTTATTATATTCATATCAGGCACATTAAAAACAGGAATGTATATCTATATATGTATCACAGGCTTAGTCTGTAGATTGTTACATGACAATGCCAGAGAGGGTTTGTGTCAACCCAATTACTATCTTTTATCAACATAAAAGATTCATTTATATTTCCACTTTGGTCTATTTTAGGAATTGTCTCTGTCAGTACCACCAGCTCATACTTTTACAGCACTCACCACCACTCAAGTCCTTAACTCCAAGGCTAGAGGTTGAGGGTGTCCTTGGTAAATCTCCAGGAAAACAGATAATGCTATTATTGAGATGAACACCTGACAGGGGGGGCACTCACTGGATACCTCTATGATCTTGACTGAGTTCCCTAACCTCCTGCAGGGATACTGAACATTGAGCACTCAGCCCAGAGCAGTGAGACCAGCCATCACTCAGCATGAGCTAAAAGCAGCATTCTCATCTGCTGCCTGCAAGCCAGGGGACAGCCTTTTTCTGCCTTAGAAAGAAAAGAGATTAAAACCAAAAGCTTAAGGCTGTACAAGTGGAAGAATGTCCCGAAGACATTCTAAATTCCCCCAAAGGCTCGAATCAAAGGGAGATAAATGTAAACAATAATTACTAACAATGCTAGCTGAAGAGTGGGTTGCTTAAACTGGGAGTTGGGGATAATTGAATTAACGAGCCTTTCCTGTTTTGGAAGACTTCTCTGAGACTTAAGGCAGAGCTGCTCTCAAACTGTGGGTTTAAGAACCATAAAGAACCAGACGTCCTGGGAAGTCAAAACTCAGAAGTAACATTAACACGTTATTTGTTTTTCCCGTTATTGCAACTGCACCACCATGCAGTGGATTCCCCTGGCAGTTACAGGGCTCAAAGGCAGGTATACAATGGAGAGACAGTGGTGTGGCCCCCTACCAGCTGTCCACGCTCCTGCAAACAACCACTTACCCGTGTTCCTGTACAAAGGCATGGAAACTAGTTCCTGAGAAGGAGGGGACCAGCAGGCACAGAGGGTGGACAAGAGAAAGTGACAAAAGTAAATCTGAGCTAAGTGTGTTCTGTATGTACATGAAAATGTCGTATTGGGGCCACAAGATGGTGCAGTGGATCGGCATGCTTGCTATACAAGCCTGAGCTTGAGCCCGGGAGCACATTTAAAGGTGAGATAACCCCACAAAATCGCCACCTAACCCCTAAATGTGTGTGTGACATGCAAGCTACATCCTTCATCATAATACACAAATAACAAATAAAATTGTCACATGTTTGAAATACCATAATGAGCCAGATGTGATGGTTTATACTTTTAATCTCAGCACCCAGGAGACAGAGTTGGAGGATCTCTGTGAGTTTCAGGCCAGCTTGGAATACATAGTGAGTTCTAAGACCTCCAGGCTCCATATTGAAACCCTAACAAACAAATTTCTAACAAACAAACAGCAACAGAAAGATGCTTCTAGAAAAGACTAGTTCTCAAGGTACCTCAGCTCTTGCTGATGACAGAATGACTCCCAGTCAGCCGACTGTTTCTCCCAGAACTCCTGAAATGGAATAAAGATTTTTGACTAAACATTCAGTGGTTCTTTTTCCTAGAAAATGTTCTCTTTCTTCCCAGGGACAGGACAAACAAGGAACTTGCCAGAGCATCCTCTTCGAGGCCTTTGAGACCCTGAAGATTCTCCTCCAAGTTGCTCAGCTCCTGAAGGACCAAACTGTGAAACCTCTCCAGCTTGTTCAGTCTGCCAAACGTGAAAGCAACAGCCTTCAGTGTGAGCAATTGGGTGTGACAGAATAGCCCCACAAGAACACATCAGAGAGTCTTGCCTTAAAACACAATGGCACCTTTCTTTTCTCCCCACCTTTCCATGTTCCGTGATCCCTGATCCCAGAGACTCAGTGAACTCTCCCGAGCCCCTGGCAGCGCCCAGAGGGAGCCACGATGTCATCACAGTACAGGAGAGATGGTCCCAGGAAGGAGACCGGAAGCCATCCCTCCCCTTCTACTGTCTGCTTGCTTTCCTCTGTCTGGCCTTGCACTGCTGTGAGAGCTGTGGTCAGGTAGGTTCCAACACCCATTTCCCAACAGTCACCATTCTGTGGCTAAGCACCGTTTAAATGGCTGCTGTCTCTTTTCCTTTAGGGCCGGATGCTCCACATAAACAGATCTCCTGCGGCTCTCTGCTTATTTGGATGTGGAATATTAAAAATCTTTGTTCCAGGGGAACATTACTAGAAAGTGACGGAGGTAGGGCCTACTGGGAGGTCTGAGATCATTATCAACATCCTCAAAGGTGTCTGAGGTGTGGGACTCTTTTATTTTTGTTTCCTAACCGTCAGTTGAACAGTTTTCTCTCCTACCCATTCTTGCCATGATACCTTCCTTCCTCTAACACAGGACCCAAGAAACAGGGCCAGTTTATCACAGATTGAATCTTCCAAAACCATGAGTCAAAATATGTGCACACCTGTGTACATGGGGCCTTAGTTTTATTGCAACAGGGTCTCACTGCACGATCTCAGCCTGATCTAAAACTCATTGCATATCCCAGACTGACTGAAAACTGTGGCAATTCTCCTGCCTCAGCCTCTGAAGTGCTGGAAGTGGTGGCATGGGCCACCAGGCCTGGCTACCTCGGGTCTCTTAATAATCAGAAAGTTACTTCACAGCTGGCCCTCACACACTATGCGTGGAGTGAGCACCTGGCATTAGTGTTCAGTGTTTGTTAGCTGAGTAGATATACGGCAAAAGGTAAGGTCCTTAAAATACAACAGGAACTCATCAAAACCAGAGTCCTCCATGGCTTTGCCTGGCCATTGCATGTATACAAGAACTTCAAAAAAATTTGTACATTCTTACTCAAATAATGCATTTTAATCCCAAGAATGTTTCTATTTCAGCTAAGCAAATATCCCCTCTCCTCCCCCCATCTCAAGCACTCTCTCCAACATGGAGCAATCTCTCAATTCTTCTTCCCCATTCCTCTCATATCTTTGTTCCCAGACCCTACTCAAAAACTGCTTCCATAGCGGTTGTTCTAAGCAGACTCTAATTACACAGAAGCCCTTCTTCACTTCTCTGAAATCAGGCATGGTGGTACACCCTACTGACTTGGTCATAAGGGTGTTATATGTATTATATTGTCTTAACACAGCATAACCTAAAATTTACCCTTCTAATCATGTTTAAGAAGGCAGTTCAAAGTGCAAGGCTCATTCATGGTGCTCGCAGCCTCACTGTGACACAATTACAAAGTGTTCTTGTCATGAGAAACAAAAAAGTCTGCACTGATTTAACAATGGCAGTCTCTTCCTCAGCTTCTCTGGTGTCCGCTGTCTCTAGAATTTCTCATGTCAGTCAGTACCTCTCATTTAAGTGGAGCCATGCAATATTCACCCTCTAGGACCTGGTGTCTGTCTCTGAGGATAATGTTTTCAAGGTTCATTCATGTTTAGCATGTGTATTGGTGGGTGGGTGGGTGTGCACACACATATGCATGTAACAATAATAATCCAAGAAAAGGAGGCTATCCTTTTGAGAGAGGGGTGACATGGAAGGAGTTGGAAGGAGGGTATTTGAGAGAGGCTCAGGAATGGCAAGGGAAGGGAGAGAGTGGTATGATTATATTTTAACTAAAAAACATGAGTTTCTTCCCTTGGTTGGGTGACAGTTGGTGGGATGGACATACCACACTTCAGTCTGTTTTTGCATAGCTCCCCGGGCCTGCATAGTCTTCACAAGTAGACTACTATTTTTTAAAGACGCCTGCTTTAGGACCGGTCACTGGTAGATCATGAGGAGGCTGGAGGAGAATGCTGAGTTCAGCTCTCTTCTCACGTCCCCCTCACACTGTACCTCCTTAGCTCCCCCCCCCACACACACACATAATGGTCCCAAGATAAATTCTGCTTCACTCCCATGATTCTGCTTTTCAATCCAGTATTTACCTGCGTGTGTATATCTGGTTCCAAAGTCTGACGAGGCAGCCTGGCACGTCCTTCGCCTTCTCTAAAGAAAGTGGAATTTCTTTCTGCTTGAGCTAAAGCCATAACACACAAAAGAACAGACTAATGGCATTTGGGTAAACAAGGTGCATAAGTTGAGTGTTTACTGTGTTAGCAAGGCACCAGCAGCACACAGTGATGATCGAAGGAAACATTCCCACAGAGACTTCAGTCCAGCATCATCCTGTGTACATTCCAGGCATTTCCACGGGTTTGGTGTGATAAAGAACTAGAGAAACTAGAACACCCTATAATCATACTATTGATACAATATTGTATTTATACTATATATATAGTATATTCATACTATAGATACGATGTATTCATACTGTATATGTACTATATTCATGCTATTGATAAAACAC